TCTATATACAGTATATAAAATATTTAGTTTGTTGTAAACGTAGATAAAAGACACAATACTTAGAATAAATAGTTATGTTTTTCTTTTCTAATTTGGTTTCATTTATGAGACTAATCTAATCCAATCTTCTAAGTTGCATAATATATTCACCAAATTGAGCAGTGGTCGCGCTAGTATTTTCCCGACGGGGTCCCCCACGGCAGCGTAAGTGGGTGTGGTCAGGGGCTGCTCAGAACCCCTCGGATCGGAAACTAACTATCTGCAAAAAGTACACACTTATTTTCTTCTTGACAAAATGTGCTTTATTTTCTCCCCGTGACGGCGAGCTGGTCAAAAGACAGGTGGAGTGACTGTATGGCAGAGGTGGGTATAAAAATCGGTCGAAGGGCCAAAGTGATTTTTTTTATTTAACAACGAGGGCCACACCCTAACTTTGATGTTTCCAGTGACCTTCCAAAAAACTCCAAGCACTGCTTTTACACCACTTTATTCTGAGTTTTAATGTTGCTTTTTACATATGATCGGTGTTGGGCCTTAAAAAACAATGTGTTTTCTAGCCAATGTTGCTTGGCGGGCCGCACACATAGGGTTTTTAATTCATTTTCGCGGCCGCAAAAATATCCCTGTCGGGCCGCACTTTGCCCACCTGTGCTGTATGGTGTGTAGTAGGGGTAATTAGGGTTGGTGCAACGGTTGCGGTTCTTCTCCATTTTGAGGTCGGAGGTGTGCGCTGATTACAGCTGCAACATTATGGAATTCACCCCAGGAAGCTGAGTATATGTTCCATATGTTTTTGATCTTATGACCAGGGGGTAATAATGTGAAGCGCTTAGAGGCCTTGTTGGTATGGAGTGCTATTATATGTCTAACAATATTATTGTTACACTATATTCTTTTATATTTTTTTAAATTTTTTATTTCAACCATCATTAAATAGGGTAATCCTTCCAGGTTAGCCCAGTAGGTTAACTGTTATTTAGGGGCCCTCTTTAATAAAATTAAAAAAACTGTACAAACAACATCATTACAAAATAATAATAATAATTCTACCTAATTACTTCACTATTCCTAGGGAATAATTAGGCACAATGTAATTGGCTTTTTCATTTATGTTCTTGACGAAGTAAATGTAAATTATACAATTCAAAGTGCAATATACAGTATTATATAAATAGATAGGTGATAGGCCTACACATACTGCCCACACAGAGGAAACTGCAGGGGATGGCTGCATCTGTTCGTGACAGTAGCGTTTCATTACGCAGTGCACAGTTGGGCAAAAGCCATCATCATAGTGAAACAAGAAACAAGAAAACAAGAAACAAGGTTTAAGCTGTCATTAGGCAAATAGACAAATTCTAATCAAAGTTAATTTTGTCTAAATAATTGAATTCAAATTTAACCAAATGCTAATGAATTGAAGCTCTAATAAACCTCAAGTATTTCAACCAGGATTAGTAAAAGAATTACTTACGTGATACAGTATCTAATATTGGCTTATTGAAATATTAGTGGTGCAACTAAACACTGATACCAGAAAAATACAGTAAAATACAGTAGTTTCTTCGTTTCCTTTAACTATCCCCTAAACCTATTCTAAACTATAAAAGATAACCCAGAATCATACATTTATACTATTCATTACTATTATAAGATAAAAAACATGACTAGAGGTAACTGTGTTTTGAAAATACATACGATAAACCATACAATTAAAATTTAGAAGGATCATAAATTCTTAATGGCAGCTTTTGCTGACATCAGTAAATCTAGATACTGAGTGCCTCTCTTCCGTGGGGAGAGTCGAAGTCCAAGTCTGGGCCAATAGCAATAATACCGAGTGGGTTGATTTTCTTGTGGCTGCCCTGCAATCAGAAACAAAAAAAAACAAAACATATTAGTCTTCTGTCCCTTATTGAAAGTATAAAATATAATAAATATCATATTTTTTACATATAAAAAAGGAACTGTATATACATTGCTTGTCTCTACCTGCAATATAATAATATATAATATATATAATTATAGCATTATCACAAGATGGTTTAAAGTTTATATATATAAAATATTACATGTGAAGACAATTTCTAAATTGTGTTGCAGGCTATATATATAAATTTATTAATCTAAATTTTATGAAATTATATATCATATATAGATAATTTATAATTTA